GAAAATGAAGTAAAGATTATTTAAGAATTTTTCTGTATTTTTGGATTTGAAATTCCAATTTGGTAGTTTTTCTTTCAGTTTCCATTATTTTCCAAGATAAGAAAATTTTTAAGAAAAATTTGCCTTGAAACCCATTTTCTGACAAACAACAACCTAAAGCTATGTTGTCACAGAAAACAAACTTTAAAATTTGTATATAGGAAATTACTGTATGATGAACAGATAAAGAGCATTGCAGAGTCACAGAAGTGATACAGCAAAGGTGACAGGTGGTTTGTAACTCAACCACTTGCTGAAACTATTTGATATTTTGCCATACACTGAAGATCAATTCTTCCACAACATTTTTTGTTTCTAAACAAGGATTGTGCAATAGATTTACGAAAATTGATGTAAATTAGAAATTCAATTGAATTTTCTCAAAAGAATTTTCTAGAATTTTCTCAAGCATTCTATTACTTTCAACAACTCAAGAATAATTCAAGAGATTTCTAACCAATTTCTAACCACTGTCCAACTGCTTTAAAACCATTTTTCTTTTGAAGTGTCTTTTATTCTTTTTCTTTCTTTTTCCTTCTACTCCAAAAACTATTTAAACCCCAACACTTTTCTTCTTTTTAAGAATTGGCCTTATCAAATAAAGAAAGTCTTTATTAAGTATTAAACTTCTACTTCAACTTCAACTCATACTTGCATCTCAAACTCTTATCATTTAGTTCTGAGATATCTAGTAGTGAATAAGTTGACTCAAGCCATTACAGCTACCAGAATCATTACTACAAGTCTTCTGCAACTTACCGGAACCTTATGTTTGTTCCATTTCTACTTTACTTCAAAAATCAACAAATTTTCAATATTCCGTTTGAAATGATGAAGCAAACATCCAAAAATTGGTTTGACTTAATTCAAAAAGGACCTGGCTCTACTTGTGAGTTCAAACTGGTCCTTTGGAGCTCTTTCAACAATTTTTTGGATTTTTTGAATTTTAGCAACTGCCACTAAATTCCTCGCAGATTCTCTGCCATCCAAATCATCTGATCCCCCACACTTATGTTTTCACTAAATTTTAACAACATGAACAGGTTGTGGAGGTAGAATTGTGATGGTGCCATGCATATTAGTGTTATCCCTATTCAGATTATTTTGGCTCAATTGTGCAAATAGAGTAGCTGAGACCTGAGCAGATTTTCACAGTGTTAGATTATTTGATGAAAATCATGTAAGTTTTTGATTGCAAGGAGGCTGGATTAGTTGCTTTTTGAATTGTAAATGACAATCAAAAATTTTAAAAAAAAACAGTACCTTGAACTTCAAATTCTGCTGCATTTTGTCATCTTGATCAAATTGGATGAACAAAAAAGACTCTTTATATTTTTGTAACATACATTAGTAACCAATCACAAAATTATTGTTTTTAATGAGCTAGAAATTCCAGAATGCAATTGCACATACAGTTGTTTCTTGTGGAATTTCAGCATCAGTTGCCCAGTTAACAGTACAAGTGAGTTGCAATGCCTCTGAAAAAATTGGTTGAAATTTTGGCACAACAAGCTCTCCTTATTTCCATCAAACTCAATGCATTTGTATTTTGCTTCCATATTCACAGTTTTATGTCTGGCACATTTTAAAATATCTATGTCATCTCCACCCCCCAATAAACCAACAAATATCCTGTTTTTTCACATAGTATGAGTTCCAAATGGACCTTCATGATATAGAATACAGGTAGCACACATCCTTAATTTGCTGGAGCATAGTATCATATGAAATTGCATGATTGCATTCTATTTGTTCTGATGGATTTTTTTTTGTATGCTTGAATAATTTAATTAAGCTTTCCATAACAGGGAACAAAATTACCATATGAAATTTTAGTCAAAAAAAATCCAACCGAAGAAATGTAATGGGTAAAACTTCCACTTTCCTCACCAATCTTGTCAATTTTCATGCCAGAATTTTTTTAATCTTTGCAAGTGAACAAAAAAAGCCCAAAATGAGTTGTGTCTACAGCTGAAACCCCTTTGCAATTAAATATTTTTTTTGAATTGAATAAACTGGACAATTGATTCAGCACACTTAGATGGTCTTGGGAGTTTGGTAACATCATTAGTTGACTATCATGATTCCCAATTAGAGTACAATAATATCAATTGCTTGTTTTTTAAATTTAAATCCTCATATTGTCCTTGTATTGCAATAAAATCAAAAAACACTTATGTTTCTCATACGCATTTATTGAGTTATTTCCAGTGGTCTGTTTCCATGCAGTGATAATGCCATATTTGACTGCTACAGACTGAGTCTTTGCAAACTGGCTTTAATTCCAGTATCCATAATTTTTTTAAGGTTGTCTGGGATGTAGAAGCAATAACACACACTTTGCTGCTTTATTATTTTTGTGCAGGAGTTTTCTGCTTGCACATCAGCTGTTGTGCTTGCCATTTTAGGGCTTTGTGAGTCACTAACATTTTTTTGTTCAATGGTTCAGATGGTTTATGAACAAATTTGTTTTCATTTATTGGCGGGTTCATCCCAGAATAATTAATCATATCTATGCTCAGTTTGAAGATCAAGTACTCAACACAAGGGATTGAGGTCATTTTAATACTCCCATTCCTTGATTTTCATTTTTAACAAATGGATAGTATTTAAAGAATTTAATTTGAAAAAAATTGTGAGAGAATCGAAGAGATTCCAAGTGGGCGAAGTTAACTTAAAGGTGTTTGGTCTTGAAATTGATGAAGAGAGAGGTTTGTAGATTTTTCCAGTGCTACCAATATGTGAGAGAATTGAAGAGATTTCAAGTGGGCAAAGTTAACTTGGAATGAGCAAAGCGATGAATATTCTTGAGCTGTGTCTCACACGGCGAAGTCTTCCTTTTTGTTCTAAAGCGAAGCAAAGTTGAAGTTTTTAATAAAGAATTCTCTGTTTATTTTAATTTCAATAACACTGAATTTATAGAGTTTCAGAATCCTTTCTGAAACAAAGTGAAACAGAATTTTTGGGCGGCGCAAGTAAAAATTTCATAAAGAAAATTGTGAAATGGAAAAGGAAAATAAAAGATAATATGATAATAAAATAATAATATAATAGTAATAACTTCGAGTTGAAGTTACAAAAATTATTTAGTTTCCCGGACAAACATTCAAGTCCGCATGGCGAAGTGGTACCGCGTCGCTCTCCGGAGGCGAAGGTCATGGGTTCAAACCCCATTGTGGACGAATGATGATCTACTTGCACTCTTGTCTTGTAGGTCGTCGATTTCTGCGACTTGAAACTTCGCTGAACACATCGTTTCTCGATGAACATTGTGCAATGCAACCATGGTGAATATAATATGGATGCTTAAAATTTTGACTGGACGCTTATTATGTTTTGTTGGATGATTTGGCGTTTTCGGTGTGTTTGAAATAGAAAACGTTATCCGAAAGTCCCATATTCCTGTTTCAAATTATTTTTGCACCAAAGATGGATCAATAGTGAGGAGACCAATGAACTTGTGGGCGAACAAAGCAGAGTTCCAAGAACACTACTGTTTGATTTGGGGCGAAAAAAAAACATGCAACGAATAACGCGTTCAGCAGTTAAACAAGGCTCGGTCCGTTCGCTGACATCAAAGCCGTCAGAAGTTGCGGCCCAACATCTTGCCGCCGCCGCCGCTGATCCACGCCGCCTGTTCCAAGCTGAACTTGAGTCAGGTTGGTGAACAAAGAAGAACGCAAAACAAAATCAGTCGCACTCAAGCACATAATACAATAATGCTTAAATATTTTTAAACAAACTCAGGTGTACCGGCGTCGGTCATCAACCATCCCGTTCGCATCTACAGACCCGCAAACACACCCACACAGTCTGGCTCTGCCCGACCAAACCATTGGCGCCTCGATTTTGACACCCAGGACAAGTGGGAGAATAAGCTGATTGGATGGGTTTCAAGGTACATAACTGTTCGTGAAGAATTTTTCATCGCCGTATCGCTGATTAATACGCCGAATTCTGATGCTTAATCGAATTGTCTGAAATACCAATTGCTTTTAATTAGTGCTGATCCAATGCAGGCCTTATCTTTGAAATTTGCCACGAAAGAAGATGCAGTTTTGTTCGCTGAGCGTCAAGGTTATGAATACTGGATCGATTTACCAAAAGAAAGTTCCTCAAAGCCGAAAGTCTATGCGGACAATTTTAGATATTCTGCCAAAACTCTGCGTCTCCTGAGAACAAAGTAACTGCAATAAATATTGCGAGAATTTTTCTTTTTTCTCTTTTCTTTTCAAATAAAAGTTTGAAAACTGACTTGTCCAGCTTTGTGAATTTTCCCAAATATCCTTCCCAAATTTGACAAATGGAAAATTCAAAGAAATTCAAAAATTCAGCAACGCAATCAGTCAACAGATTGAAACTGGCAATTATTCCAAAGAACTCTAGGAGAATTACATGAGAGAATTTAGTTACCAGAATTGAAGTTGTTGAGGCAACTCTGTAGTGAGAGATGAATATCACAAAACAAGTAATGCGAAATAAATCTTTCTTCATTAATTTAAGGTTTATTTGTTTCTTCTCAAATAAATAAAATGAACTGTTTATTAAGAATGGACAAAATTGTTGTTCATAGGGGGCAGAATCAAGACAAACACAAATAATGCAAAACCATTAAAATCTGTTTGTCTTCGTTTATTTCAATAAAGTTAAATTATAAAATAGCTTTATTTACGGTCAGTTGATTAAAGCAAACAATCTTTATGAAAAAATTAACCAACACTGTTTCAACTGATCTGTTCGTACTGTGACACACTACTATAGAGGTGCCAATAGAATCAACAAAGAACCAATGAGGAGAATTTGGTATTTTCACTAGCTAACAGTAAGAGACCTATGCCACTTACTATAATGTTCAAATGCCTGGAAACACAATGTAGAAAAGACAAACGACAGTTGCAAAATACTATGGAGGCATCCACAGTCTCTTGTACTGATAGATCTAAATATTTTTGTGGCCGCAGCGCATGTATTTATTGTTGGCACAATTAACTTTAGCTTATGAATAAAGATATTAAACTATTTGTTAACTAAACAGAACAGTGACTTGTGTAAATTCAACAAAAACTATATGAAGGAATCAACTGCCATTTACTATAACATTAATCATTTTAAGTTACAAGTAAGAACAGAAAAATCACATCGTTTTGGCCTTTTTCAGGGCTCCCGATGTACACATTTGTCATTGAAGTGAAAAAGAGAAAAATTCAAAGATGCCTTTATACTGATGTTTCAAACTTATGAATAAGATCACTTTTATGAAGCACAAGATTTATTTTATTAACCAGTATCTTTTAGCTAGATTTTTATTTTATTAACGAGTATCTTTGACTAAATCTTTTTCAACTCAAGATGAGACTCTTAATTTGGTGACACAAATTAGGTAACAAGTGTACGTAACAAGTGTGCAATTTCAAGACTTTGTGTTTTCAATCTAGATTAATACCAATAGCTGCACTAATATAACACACACAGCATTTGAAGTTTAGTGTTCATAACAATTGGTTTGGCTCACTCTGCTGTTGGAAAGATATTTTCTTCTTGATCTTTTTCCAAATTGTTGAAATATTTGTTCACACAGCCTGTGCTACTTCTTAGTACTTGTGTTAGTGAAAAAAGAATTGACAAATTTGACTCAGTTCTCAAAAATATTTTGCATTAATGCTGTCAATATAATGTGAAACTTGTTGTGAAATTAAGGTACTGTATTTGTATAGCAAAACTCATGCTAATAATATTTGAGCATGAGTCTTGGGAGCAGGGATTCAGATAAGTATGAGTCAAAAGCAGAAATTTTTTTGATATTTCTTTGTGTAAGTAGTCTCTTTGAGACGGCTATGGAATTAGTTGTTGCTGTGAAGGAATTTATTGTTAAGGTTTTTATTATAATTGATATACTTTTAAATCCTTGCTGCTGTGTCCACTATTTATAGTATTTTACAGCCACTTTGTATTTTCGGGAGACAGCTTCGTGTCAAGTAACATGACAGATTTTTGAAAAAAAAATATTTTACAAAATTGAGACCCTAATCACACGAAGAGAAAATTATAATCATAATTATCTTTGAAAACTCTCAGGTGATTCTGTGCTCTGACAACATTAACTTTTGCTGTCTTACCCATCGCAGCTCCTCATATCATGCCTTTCCAAACGACCAACCCGGGCAAACGTATCCACCGCAGACTCGGCTGTACACACCGTTTGATCAGTCCATTTTGGTGAGATGATTATAGGTACCGCTTGATAAAATTAATACATTTTTCTTGTCATTGCCAGACCTTATGATTATTATGTCAAATGGATATTTATGTTTTTGATAATTACATAGAGTTGAAGAAAGTACAAATACTATGAAGGGGTATCGGATAAGAATAGAATAAAATAAACAGCTTGACTTTAATAGATTAAAGATAGAATAAATATTTATTGGTATAAAATGTGTCGAATGTTTCAGATCCCAACATTAATTTTAATTACAAAGGACAACAAGTAGTGTCTTTGATTAGTTATTTAAGTTGCAAACTTGTAAAGAATTAATGATATGCAAGTGATTTTATGCAAATTGTTGCCACTTTTCATGAAATTAAGGAAGTATATTTATAAAAATCATTTTGTTTTGTTGCTTATGTATACTTCACGATCAATTTTTCCAAATAGAATTATTTCAAAAAACAAAATTTCAAGTGTTTATTTGTACATGCAATTGAATTTTTTTGATGAGTGCACGCTTCATAAATAGGTCTCTTGCCAAAGCTCGAGTGTTCTAAATTAAAAAAAATAATATCACAAAATAAAAAATTTAAAAATTTAAAAAAATTAAAATAAAGGAATTAAATATACGTCTTTTTTTGGTTTACTCACTCCGTTGAAGGAAATTATCATATTTTTAAATATAATTTGCTAACGACGCTCAATCGCTTCAAATTTCTTTAACATGATCCGAAAATCAAACCTTCATAAAAACAGCAATATCAATTCTCTCCGCATTCAAAGCTTTCCCAAGCTGATAAATTTCGTCGTCAGTAGCATGTTCATCTGCGATCAGATCCAGTAATTGGTTTCCCACAACGCTCGTGCCCGTCATTATATCGTCCACTTGTACTTCCGGCTCTGAGTGGATCTTTTCGATCTCTACTTTCATTTCGGAAATTTTTGATGTTACGATTTGCGTGTTGTTTCTGATTTTCGCCTGTAGATATTGATGCGAGAAAAAAATTATTATAGTAATTTTTTTAGCCGCAATAGTATAATATTTGTAAAACCTCTTCGTGTCGAATCCTCTGCAACGCATCAGAAACTCTTGACTCCCCCCCTTCAACATATCCACCAAGCACACGTATCCGTTCAAACTCTTTTGCTGCGTTGCGTTCAAGATCAGTAGCCGCTGCGACTAGTCGCGATGCCAGGATTGCGCGCAATTCTGCGGCCCGTTTTTCTTTCACTGCAGCTTCCCGAACAAGGGCCTCTTGCTGCTGTGAAAGCGGAAGGCTGCTTGTCGATGGCATTTGATTAATTAGCTGCGAATCTTGCCGATTGTTGTCAGGCTGTTGAAAATAAGGGTGAATAGTAGATGGTTGTTGGAGTTGTTGCGGTTGTATTTGTTGCTGTTGCGGAAGGCATTGGAATTGATTTGTGAATTGCGGATTTTTATTATATGTGTTGAATTGAATTGATTGATTAGGAGAAGAGACAGCAGTCTGCTGTTGTTGTTTATTATTTGAGTAAATTAGTGTTCCAGAGATGTTGACGGGAATCGTTGCAGTGTTTATGGCAGAAGTCAAGACTTTTGCTGGAGGCGGTGGCGGGGGGTGAGGATTCGAATGATTTGCAGCAGTCTGAATTGATGAGTTCATGACCACTGGATTCGGAAACTGAACATAGACGGGCGGCGGTTGCTGAGAGGGTGATTTATTACTGATGATAAATGGATTCGCGGGGACTGGCGGAGGGCTAGCTAACTTTGCTTTTGCAGGGATTGGCGGCGGAGAAGATTTCGCGAAGGGATTAGCCGGGACGGGAGGCGGAATTTTAATTGGTGTTACTGTTGATGTTTGATTGGTTGTTGGTTTCGCGTAAACGGGCGGATCCTGCTCGAAAACAGACTGGATTTCGGCTAGGAGGGCGAGAAGCGACGGATTCGGCAGGGCGGACCAGTTTGCCAGCATTGGATGAAAAATGCGGCCG